TAATGTATACTAATATTTGAAATAAACACCAAAAAAAAAATTTTTTTCTTTCTTTTGCTGATTAATAGTAAGATTACGGTATCAGTTTCTTTTTTTTCAAATTTTTGCATATTAAAGAAGAAAAAAAAAATGTAAAGCAAAAATAAAAAACGTAAAAATACGACCAAATTTTACAATCTTTTATATTTATGTAAATTTTTTTCTTCTCACCACTCATAAAGTATTGCTGAATGAGTTCATTCTCAATGTCTATCAGATTAGGCAGTTAATGACGTTTGAAGATGGCGATGATGATGACGATGATGATGATGGTGACGACAACGATGTCAACGGCGATCAGGAAGACGAGAAGAAGGAGGAGAAAGGGAAGGGGAAAAAGGTGCAGGAGGATGAGGAGAATGACGATGTTGGCAGAAGTAACATTAGAAAAAAAGTATAACAAATTATTAATTTTTGGTCATCAAAAAAGGCTTCTTTTTTTTTCTGCGATAGGGGAACTGTGGAATTTTTTTTATTTTATTTTAACAGCACAATTTTTGCCACTTTTTTCTGCATCTTTTTTTTTGGTACAATCAATACACTTAACAATAATATTCCAAATTCCAAATTTTTCAATTTTTTTTCACTCTTATAACGTAGTCGATAGTGTTTTTTTTGTAGTACACGGATATATATATATTTATTTATTTATAATTGGTATATACTTTGTTGAGCTTTAAAGGCGTTTAAAAGACTCTCAAAAAAACAGCAAACAGTTTTGATGTTATTTTCACCAAATCCTTCTTCACCATCCTAAAAATTCTTTTAACTTTTTGTCTACCCAAAAGTGCCTTTTTTTCCTCTGTTAGCTTCTGCCTTCATCTTAGAAAAGTTAAAGAAAAAAGCAAAAAAAAAATAACTTCTAATTTATAAAAGAGGAAGTGTAAAATAAAATCTCAGGAAGTTTTCTAGTCGACACTTACGTCAGCAGCAAATTCTTTTGTCACTTTTTTCTTGTTGCGCTCATTTATTACCATTGTTTTTGAGCGAAAAAAAAAAAAGACTTATTTAATTCTGATGAACTTAGGGCCAAAAACACAAAAAATAAGAATAAAAAATAAAGAAATCTAACGGTATCTTTTCTCTTTAGTTTTTTTTTTATTGAAGACGAAAAGGTTTCTTTTTTTAGAACTAGTAAAAACCGTCTTTTTTTTTCTTCACTTATACTTGCAAATTTTAAAAATGCTGCTTTTTTAAACCAAAAAAAAAAAAAATCAACAATAACAGTATTGAATTAGTCGGCAATGGTAGTAGAACGTTCAAAACTGTATTCTCAAAAAAATTTCAATTAAATAGAAATATTTCTTCGCTGTTTTTTTTTTTTGGATATTAAGAGAAAATAGCTCTATTTTTTGCCAACAACAAAGATTTGTCACGATAAATGAAGTCAATAATCTACTGTAAAAATTGACTAAAAAAAACAGGAAAATTTGGAAAGAACGAACTGCGGAGGACGGGAATGTTGGAATGAGAAAACAATTCAGGAAACAACAACAAAACCAATTTATCCTCTCGCTGAATCGTTGAACTCAATGACACCTTTATATGATTGCCATTTCTCTAACGGCAACGGTAATCGGTGAACATTACAGAAGATGAGGAGAAGGGGACGAGGAAGGCGGACGAGGGGAGAGAAGGTGGTTTAGAAGACGGTGGGAAGGACAGCGCGGTAACGTATCTCCATCAAACCTCTGCAGCCTTAATTTTTCAACTTTATTACACTTAAGGTTTTTGACTCTTTTTTGGATTTTTTTCACCTCCACTCTTTGTCCTCTCACTCTTTACTCTCCTCTCTTTTTTGCTTTATCTCATATTCTCTAATTTCTTCTTTCATCCTCTTCCGCTCTCACAAACTCATTGTATTTCTTCGTTTGAATTTCCTCACCGTTCCCACATCTGTTTAAGAATCTCCTTCCTTGCTCGTCACATTCCTCTTCAACCATTGTCTTTTTGCCTTTGAAGCTGTTTTTCTTGTGCTGCCTGATGGTCGATATTACCAGGTCTTAAAAAAAAGTTCATGTGATGTACATGTGTGTGTGTATTTGTGAAAAAGGATACAGGTATATGCGTATACAACAACAGCAACAACACCACCATCACCAAAAAAAAAAAAAAAAAATCAACCAACAGTTTTCGGAGGTCATTCAGTTCTTTGACAGTCGCCTGTTGTCCCTTTATAAAAATGTAGGGTTTTGTAGAAAAAAAAAAAGGAAACCTTTTTTTTTTTCAACAACCAATAAGCCGATACGCTTTTGTCGTCTTCATCTTTACAGTACCAACTGAAAAAAAGGTTGAAGGCCAAAAAACTTTTTTTTTTTGCAAAAAGAGAAAAAAACTATTTTTTAGTATCATTTAAGGTGTTTTTTTTTCAAATAACGTTTTGAAAAAAGCACAAAAATTTCAACCTTTTTTCTTTCGTTAATTTTTTCTTCTACTCTTTATGAAGGGGAGGAGAAAAATAAGAAAAAGAAAAGTTTTTTTTAACGAGGTAACAAAACTGATTAATTGTATCTAAAATTGAATACTAATGCCACCGTGTTGCTTATATCATTAAAACTTTCTTCTGCCTTCTATTCAAGCAGAAGTGTGAAATTTTTGTGAAAAAAAGGTTCTTTTTGTTGAAACATCACTACAAGTTTCGTAGTGTGTTGATTTTTCCTTTGCCTACTTCCAAAGTTGTTAAAATTTTGGAGGAAGTAAAAATATTTGGCGACTTTTATTCCTACTATTGTTTTCTTTTTTTGTTTTGATCAGTATATGTATTTTTTGTTCATACTTTAACGTTTGTAAAGCTGATACAAATATAGTTTTAGAGCATTTTTTAAGACTAATTACAATGCTTTTTACAGTTGATTGCTGGCGTTTTTTACAATTGATTATTAAAAAACAAAGGAAAAAAAAATTTTTTTTCACACTTCAATTTTTTATACTTTGTAGTTTTTGCTGCTTTTTTTTGCGCATCTTTTTAACGCTTTAAATGAAGTTTATCTCACAAACAATTTTTTTTACTCTTGTTTTTTTTCTTTTTTCTGCTTACTTGTCGTTTCTATTCAATTTTTTTGTTTCTTTATCTTTCCATATTTTCTTGACCAAATATAATAATCGGTACTGGTTCAGCAGATATTCTATGTTTTGACAACACATAGTTTGCCGCTAAACCAATAACTATCACAATTATAATAGGGAAAAAAAAGCATTCTACAACGTTCATTTGTTGCGAAAAAGCTTTGCACATTTTCCACCTCGTTTATATGCGTGCAAAAAAAACGACTGCAGCGTGGAAGCTCAACATTTTTTCATCTTCATTTTCGTTAGTTTTCAACCAGTAAAAAAAAAAAAAGAAAAAGAAATAACTAAAGAAACAAGATACAAAAAATATTTTTGATTGAAAATTTTCATGTATAAAATTGGTCATCATTGGGGTCGTCGTCTTCAAAAAAACTTTAAAAATGAGCCTGAAATACAAATAAGGCCAAAACCTGGTTAACCCCGTGTGTATTTAAAATCATCAACCTGTACGAATCCATCAATATTGTTGTTTCATTGAACTGATGGTTTGTAAAAACCGTTTAATACTGCTGCGTAGGTAGCAAACGTACATAAAAATATTCAGCTGTAATTAGTTACAAACAGTCATTTTTTGCAGCCCTATATTTTTCAGTTTCAGTTGTCGGCAAAAAACAACAACAACAACAACAACAACAACAACGGGCTTAGGATGAGGTGGAGAAAGGAAGAGAAAAAGAGAGAGGCAGAGAGAAGAGAAATGAGATGTGAAACTCGCTGAATACTCCGCCAATTGACAGCCTCCTCTTCCCGGGATTACCATAACCACCATAATGTGGTCATCTATCGACTTATCCCAAATACACTCACTCAAAAATCCATCGTATACTACCAACTAAGAGTCTGACATAGACTTTTTAATAGAACAAAAAATTTCCTGCACCATAAAAATTATAAATTTTTTCAACTTTTTTGCTCTAGTCTTTGGTAAATTAAAATGTACGCAAGTATTATAATGGACAACACAATTATTATCGTAACTTTATTAGAAAAGAAAGAAAAAGCTATTTTGGTCAAGTTCAAATAATCGTTTAGTCACCTAACAATTTAGCTTACTGTTGCTTCTCCGACTTTCATACCAAAAAAGAAGTTGTTAACAAAAAAAAAAATTTAAAAAACATATTTTTTTGAAAATTTTACTCTACCAATCTTGGTTTCTCTCTGTTATTTGCCCCTATCATTGTTACCGATTTGGCTGAGTAAAACTATTTGTTTCGCCCATTTTTGTATTTTTATTGACCTCTAATTATCGTTTGCTTTATTGAACATTTTACATATAAGAATACATAAAATACCTGCTGAACACTTACCATTACAATCAAATAGTTCAATCTGCAATGTGTCAACATTTCAGATACATCCGAAGATTTCCTGTAGTTTCGTAATTCGACAATTCGATTTCAAGTAATTTTTGGTTCTACATTAGTTGCTCATTTTTTTTTTTTTTTTTTTTTTTT